AGAACACACTGTGTCAAATAAAGTGTTACTCCTTTCACAACGTTCATTTCCAGGATTCCAACCACAGATGGATGTTGGAGGAATGTGTTGAATGGTCGGTCATCACACACGTCTTCTGGTTCTGACCACAAATAAAGACGTTCTGGGAGGAAATGAAACAGGAGACTGAGGACATTCTGAGGACAGATCTCCCCATGGAGCCTCTTCTGTTTCTGCTGGACATAAACACCAAGGATTTACTCACTAAACATCAATGTTACATATTGTTGCACCTTCTGCTGCTGGTAGCAAGAAAGACAATTAGACTAAACTGGATTAAACCAGTTCACCAACTGTTGCTGAATGGAGAAAAACTGAAACATGACAACATGATGGAGCGTCTGACTGAACATCTAGACATGAAAAAGATAATTAAATATGTAGTTTGGAAAATAAATACTGAATTTGAAAATTAAATGTTTAGTTTGTAAAATAAATATTTATTTTGAAACCAAATATTTAGCTAAAGTTTTATTTCCCAAAATTTTGTTTTCAAAGTAAATATTTAGATTGTGAATTTAATATTTAGTTTATAATGAACGTTTTGGATGACATGATGAAAATATTTGTTTGAAAAATGCATTTTCACAACTTTTTCGTTATGACATGATGAATAAACTGAAATACTGTTAGTATTTTCTGTTACTATCAATCATCACTACAGTAATGATCAAAAGTAAGTACACTCATTTTATCAGAACTTCTCTCTTCCTCATGAAGATTTTATCAACCTGCCTCTGATTTCACCTCAGAGCTTCTACTTCCTGGTTCTGTTGCTCTGGAGGAAAAAACTACAAGTCAGGTGAGCTGTGACGTCATCAGTTATGCAACATCCTTCAAATTTACTTTCGTTTGGATTTACCTGTTCAGGTGTGGCTCCAGTCCGTTTGTCGGGTTTCAGTCTGTTGTTTAAATTTTCTTCTTTAACTCTTTGGATATTTTGAACAAACTGTAAGTTTAATTTGTTTATTTATTGAAGTTTTTCATCACTTTAACTTTTTCATGATTGTTTCTAATTTCTGATGTTTGGAAAAAAAATCATCACAGAAAAATAAGGACCGCTCATTTTGAAGGCTGCCTACGTTCAATAACATAAAAAAACTGCATGTTTTATATGAATTCAATTAGTACTTAATACTCTTTACACAAAGTGAAAGTACAAATTAATGTGTTTTTTTTCTAAATTCCTTTATTGTATGAAAAGATGGTTAGCTCTCTTTATACAGGAGAAAACTATTTTTAAGAGAGTTGCCACTGATCAATTAATCATTATTGATTCTAAGACCAATCATCTTTAGATTAATTCAATCAATCTGTAAAAATATTAAATAAATTAGTGGTTTTCACTGGCTATACCCAGTAATTATTCATTAATATAACAAATTCTAAAAACACCAGTCTCTTAATGTTATTCCTTTAAAAATAAGTTTTGTTTCTAAAATGATCAAATTAAAATAAGTTTTTTGTTGATTTTATAAGGATATTTTGTAAAATTGTAACAGTTTTCAAATTTCACAATAAAATAAAATAAAAAATAACAAAACAAATAATTGATTAATAATATCACAATTTCTCCAACATACTGAAGGTTGATGTTCAGTTGGTCCAAATCTAAAGCTGGTCTGCAGAGATGACTTTAGGGTTGGTTTGTTTCTGCTCACCTGGAGCACCAGCCGGTGGAGTCAGTCTGAGTTCCTCATCATCTGAAGAGAACATTGAAGATCCTCCTGGAACAAATGGAGCTTTGGAAAGAAATCAGCAGGAAGTGAAAGAAAAATGGATCTTCATCACTTGTGAAGTGGACGACATCAGAGTTGGATTCAGTGGAGTCACATGAAGAACAGAAAACTGAGGCTAGAATAATAAACATCATGCTAAATATCAGCTGTAGCTAATCTGTCAGAAGAAGCTTCAGGTTGAATCTAAAGGAGGCTGAAGATCTCAAAGTGGATGAGAGGAAACCTGATGAGCTCTACAGTCCACTAGATCCAGATCAGAACCCTGGAGAACATCTCGCTGGAAGCAGAACCACAAGCTAGAAAATATCCAGGTTTCTATCCAACCTGAACACAGGAAGTCCTTTCTTCTTCTGCTGCAGCTGAGAAGGTCCTGCTGCAGAACTGGAGCCACACAGTTCCTCCACAGCAGAACAGAGGAGGTTCTGGAGGAGACCAGGGTCCACATCTGGACTCAGAGTTCTCCTGAGCTTCAGCAGAGCTGCTGGCTTTGGTTCTGATCCGCCTCTGTTCTGGTGTCTGATCTCCAGAGAGGATCTGAACCAACCCATCAGAACTCGTGGAGGTGGTGGAGGATGAGGATGGGGCGCGGCGAGGAGGTGGAGGAAGAGCGCCGTGATCCATCTCTCTGCTGTGGAGACCTGAGGGAATCTGACAGAGAAACAGCAGCCTTGAAATTACAACAACACTATTATTTAATATGTTTGTTGTAACACTATTGCTGTTATTACATTATCAATGACGATAATGTTTCTCCAACATTGATGTTGAGGGTCAAGTGTTTGGTCGGAGACATCAGAAAGTGAGTTTGTGACAATGGCAGTCTCTCCTCTTCACGCTCGTTCTCAACATAAAGGTTGTAGATGTTCAGATCCATGGAGTTGGAAAAAAACAACCGTCAGCTTGGATGCAACAGAAACAAAGCAAAGCTACAATGAAACATTCAAGCTTGCAGAATACTGAATCAAACCAATTAATGGTGGAAATAAATTTGGTTAGACAAACATTTAAGCAGAACTCCTTTAAACGTTCATTTCCAGGATTCCAACCACAGATGGATGTTGGAGGAATGTGTTGAATGGTCGGTCATCACACACGTCTTCTGGTTCTGACCACAAATAAAGACTTTCTGGGAGGAAATGAAACAGGAGACTGAGGACATTCTGAGGACAGATCTCCCCATGGAGCCTCTTCTGTTTCTGCTGGACATAAACACCAAGGATTTACTCACTAAACATCAATGTTACATATTGTTGCACCTTCTGCTGCTGGTAGCAAGAAAAGACAATTAGCCTAAACTGGATTAAACCCAGTTCACCAACTGTTGCTGAATGGAGAAAAACTGAAACATGACAACATGATGGAGCGTCTGACTGAACAACTAGAAATTAAAGGAGATTATGAAACATGTAATGTTGACAATAAATATTAAATTTGAAAATTAAATGTTGATTTTGTAAATACATTTTTAAGTTTGGTAATTAAATCTTTATTTTGAAACAAATTATTTAGTTTGTATGGATTCCTGCATACAAACTGGGAAGTGCTAAAGAAACTAACATATTTTTTTTTTACAATCAATCATCATTATAGTCATGATCAAAAGTAAGTACAACTTTATTTTTATCATTACTTCCTCATGACAATGTTAAAAACCTTCCTCTGATTTTCCTAGATCTTCCAATTCCTGGTTCTGCAGCTCTGGAAGAAGGAACTACCACCCTGTTTAACTGTGATGTCATACGTGATGCAACTTCCGACACATTTACTTTCAGTTTCAGTTCATTTTTCACGATGTGGCTCCAGTCTGGTTGTTTTGTCCCTGTTTGTTGTTAAGATGTTCTTGATCAAATTTTTTGGATTGCTTGAACAAACTGTAAGTTTGCTTTGTTTCAAACTTGAACTTTTCATTTTTATTTCATTCTTGTTTGTGCTCTCTGATGTTTGGAGAACAGGTTCATTTTTTCAGGTCAAAGATTCATCTGCTGTTTGAAGGTGAGTCTACATGATTATTAGATTACTAATGAACTGGAATCGAACAACATGATGAACAGCTGATGTTTCTTTGTTTCCTTCTCTGAACAAACTGATTCATGATTTCATTTTCTGGTATCAAAATGTTCACCATTGAAGTCAGAAACAAGAGTATCTTGTTGTTTCCTTATATATTATGATTATAAAATATTAATGTTAAAATGTGTTCAATTCAGTCAGATTATTAAACAGTTAATCTTTGCTGCAGCAGATAATCCACCTGTATCTTTTATATTGAAAGTATAAACAATAGTTGCTCTTCAAGTTGAATCAATGTGCGAGTCAATGTAAATGTTGCTCCATATCTCCATCTAGTGGACTGATAGTAGAAGTGCAGCAGCTGATGGCAGCTTCCTCTGCCTCTCTGCTGTCTGACTGCATTCACCTGACACTGATATGAAGCAGAGAAGAAGAGCCAATCAGAGGAGGAGCAGCTGATCTTTTTCCAGCACTAATGATGTAAAGGATGATCAGAGTTGATGTGCAGATGAATGATGTGTGTTTCCTCTGCAGGTGAAGCTAGAAAGTGTGTGTGAGCTGATGTGGATTCAGCAGCATGGATCAGTGTGAGGACAGAGAGGAGGGAGTCCCTCCCTCTAAAACCACTCTGTGTGGGGAAGATGAGAGCCAGAGCAAAGGTCAGAGGTGAGGTCACCATCTCTAACTGTCCACAGCCCTTTTCACACAGCGTTCACTATATCAGGCCAGAACAGACGTGGTGATGAAGCTGCTGCTGCTCCTCTTTGCTGATTAAGTTTTAATCATCATGTTTCTGTCAGGATCCATCAGAGACTCAAACCAGAACCAGAACCAGAACCCAGCTGTGTGTCCTTTAAGAGTGACATGTCAAAGGGTAAACTCATTCTCTTTAAATCTCCTGGATCTCCACCATCAGAGAGGTGAGATGTTTCTAACTGCTGTAACTGTGGAAACTGAACCAGTATGAATATCCCAGTTTTTATTTAGTCTGTTGACAGTGTGGAGTGTTTAAAGTGCAATATCAACTTTTTTACATAATCATAGTGTTACTGTAATCCATTTTCCTCTTTCTTACTCCTTTGTATTGTGCTGATGTGATGCTCTGTTTTACTGCTTCAAGTATTTTTAGTGTGAAATTCCTGGTGATTTTCTCAGTGAAAACTGCTGGATGAATATTTCCTGACTTCCTAATTGTTCCTGGTTCCTCCACAGAGTGGACCAGCAGAGCTCAGAGGTTCCCAGTAGTTCATCTGTCCAGCACCATCAAACACAGCTGGACTCCATATTTATGGTCTGTATATATGCAACTACTTTTCTATGGGTTCTGTTCACATTCATCTCCATGCTGCAATTTGTAGTCCAAAGGATTGTCAGTCTGTTCAACATCCATCTGGTGTTTGGCTCCATGATTTAAACTCTGATGTTTCCTTCATCTATTATTCTGTTCCAGCTGCTGGAGGACAACATTGTCACTTTTATGAAGAAAGAACTGAAGAAGATCCAGAAGGTTCTGAGTCCAGATTACGCAGAACATTCAGAGAGTCAGAGAGATGATGAGGTGTTGGAAGGTGAGGATGAAGAACAGAGGAGGAGCAGCACAGAGGCAGTGATGAAGATCACATTGAACTTCCTAAAAAAAATGAATCAGGAGGAGCTGGCAGATCGCCTACAGTGCAGTAAGAGGATTTTTACAAAGATTTAACCTGATAGATAAATCATAAATTTATTGATGTCTGAAAAGATGGAATAACATTCAATCCAGTCATCTCCATCTTTGTTTCATTATTGATTTTACTTTTTGTGTTAATTAAGGACATCTAGCTGCAGTTTGTCAACATCAACTTAAATCTGGTCTGAAGAAAAAGTTCCAGTCTGTGTTTGAGGGGATTGCTAAAGCAGGAAGTCCAACTCTTCTGAACCAGATCTACACAGAGCTCTACATCACAGAGGGAGGGACTGGAGAGGTCAATGATGAACATGAGGTCAGACAGATTGAAACAGCATCCAGGAAACCACACAGACCAGAAACAACAATCAGACAAGAAGACATCTTTAAAGTCCCACCTGGAAGAGATCAACCAATCAGAACAGTGATGACAAAGGGAGTGGCTGGCATTGGGAAAACAGTCCTAACACAGAAGTTCACTCTGGACTGGGCTGAAGACAAAGCCCACCAGAACATCCACTTCATATTTCCATTCACCTTCAGAGAGCTGAATGTGCTGAAAGAGAAAAAGTTCAGCTTGGTGGAACTTGTTCATCATTTCTTTAGTGAAACCAAAGAAATCTGCAGCTTTGAACACTTCCAGGTTCTGTTCATCTTTGATGGCTTGGATGAGAGTCGACTTCCACTGGACTTCCACAACAAGGAGATCCTGACTGATGCTACAGAGTCCACCTCAGTGGATGTTCTGCTGACAAACCTCATCAGGGGGAAACTGCTTCCCTCTGCTCTCCTCTGGATAACCACACGACCTGCAGCAGCCAATCAGATCCCTCCTCAGTGTGTGCATGGTGACAGAGGTCAGAGGGTTCAATGACCCTCAGAAGGAGGAGTACTTCAGGAAGAGATTCAGAGATAAGAAACAGGCCAGCAGGATCATCTCCCACATGAAGACATCACGAAGCCTCCACATCATGTGCCACATCCCAGTCTTCTGCTGGATCACTGCTACAGTTCTGGAGGATGTCTTGGAGACCAGAGAGGGAGGAGAACTGCCCAGAACCCTGACTGAGATGTACATCCACTTCCTGGTGGTTCAGACCAAAGTGAAGAAGGTCAAGTATGATGGAGGAGCTGAAACAGATCCACACTGGAGTCCAGAGAGCAGGAAGATGATTGAGTCTCTGGGAAAACTGGCTTTTGATCAGCTGCAGAAAGGAAACCTGATCTTCTATGAATCAGACCTGACAGAGTGTGGCATCGATATCAGAGCAGCCTCAGTGTACTCAGGAGTGTTCACACAGATCTTTAAAGAGGAGAGAGGTCTGTACCAGGACAAGGTGTTCTGCTTCGTCCATCTGAGTGTTCAGGAGTTTCTGGCTGCTCTTCATGTTCATCTGACCTTCATCAACTCTGGTGTCAACCTGATGGAAGAAAAACAAACATCTAAAAAGTTTTTATTATTTAATAAACCTAATCTAACGTCTCTCCATCAGAGAGCTGTTGACCAGGCCTTACAGAGTCCAAATGGACACCTGGACTTGTTCCGTTTTCCTCCTGGGACTTTCACTGCAGACCAATCAGAGACTCCTACAAGGTCTGCTGACAAAGACAGGAAGTAGCTCACTGACCAATCAGGAAACAGTTCAGTACATCAAGAAGAAGATCAGTGAGAATGTGTCTGCAGAGAAAAGCATCAATCTGTTCCACTGTCTGAATGAACTGAATGATCGTTCTCTATTGGAGGAGATCCAACAGTCTCTGAGTTCAGGAAGTCGCTCCACAGATAAAGTGTCTCCTGCTCAGTGGTCAGCTCTGGGTTTCATCTTAGTGTCATCAGGAAAAGATCTGGATGTGTTTGACCTGAAGAAATACTCTGCTTCAGAGGAGGTTCTTCTGAGGCTGCTGCCAGTGGTTAAAGAAACCAACAAAGCTCTGTAAGGACACACATTGTTAATGCAGTTATCTTTGATAGAAATTTGTCAATGATGAGATAAATATTGAGTGTTGCTTCATCAGTTTGTCTTCTCAATATTGACCTCTAGCAGATGATGAGCAAAAGAGAGATCAGCTCTTATTGGTGACTATTCATAATGCTGCAAATTCAAGCAGCAGAAATTATTTTTCCTACTGAAACTGACACTGGATTACTGCAGCTCATTACAGAAATTAATGTTTCTCTTGCCAGCCTCCTTGATAGCTGCTGTATTGTAGTCTCTTAAGACTTTAGGCCCAACTATAGAATAAAGCTGTTCACAACACATCTGAACTGCCATGTATTGTGCCAGGCTTAAAGATGGTGAAAATATGATATTCTTTTCAATCTGTTCAATAGGTGTTAATCTTTCAGGATTAACACCTATTAAACAAACACAGGAAAGACAAGAGAGTTAGATTCTTTCTTACTCACGAGGAGAACAGACAGTCATGTGCTTTCAGTTACAATCTTCTGCTGCTCTGAAAACACATTTGCCTGCTCCTCTCTTTTTATTGTTTTCAGGATTCCTAATCACAAAGAAACACTGTAACTCTAAAGGGAGGGGAAAACACTTCATCACATAGCGACAGCGCCAATGACAATCACTAACTAAAACACAAGGTATCTTGCACTAGATAGTCTCGTTCCAGACACAGAGTTTAACAGAGCAAGTTGTACATCTTCACGGTCAGTTTATAGCAATCTAGCCGGTCAAAGAGGCCTTGCTTCCCGCTGAGAGATAACCCTACAGAAACCTGATGTCACTGATTTCTTTCAGTGAGGCCTTCTGAGAATCAGAGTAATTCAATACAAAATCATTCTTAATGCTAAGATGAAATTAAACAATAAAGCATGTAAGAAAAGATACATTATAAAGATACATGAGAATAACAAATATTTGACAAATTACGTCACAATTTATCCAACTATATCATTGACTGGAACATAAAACATAAAATTTTGAAGACCTATTTCATATTTTCCTCCTTGTCTCCTCAGACTGAGTGTCTGTACCTCTCAGAGAGAAGCTGTGAAGCTCTGTCCTCAGTTCTCAGCTCCCAGTCCTCCAGTCTCAGAGAACTGGACCTGAGTAACAACAACCTGCAGGATTCAGGAGTGAAGCTTCTCTCTGCTGGACTGAAGAGTCCAAACTGCAACCTGGAAACTCTCAGGTAAAATGTTTTCAATCCTGTGAAACCAGATTTCTGTTGTTTACCTGCTTTCAAAGGTGATGTAATTATTATTTGTTATAATAATGGCTTGTGACATGGTTACCAGGCTAAATTTCAACATACAATAATGGCTAATTTTTCTCTTACTCCAGGCTGAAGAGATTTATTAAGAAACGTGGAGGTCAGGCTTCAACTGATAGTGTAACGCTAATTCCTTGACAAATTGCTGCATCCTAGTTGAACAGAGGAGCATCAATGCAGATCTTTACAACCAGCATTTGTTGGAGTTAATCAACCATTGTGTGGGAAATGTTGATTTTCATTACCTAGAAAAGGAAATATAGTTTTATTAATATTTCATATTATTAAGAATTTAAGCACCAGTTCCTTGTGTGTTTTCCCCTGCTGAAAATGATCAGTCCAGTCCTTGGTCTCTACCTCAATGTTCTCATTTTCACATCATGTGATGAATTGTGTGTCTGCAGCTTATCAGGCTGTTTGGTCTCAGAGGAAGGCTGCGCTTCTCTGGCCTCAGCTCTGACCTTCAACCCCTCCCATCTGAAAGAGTTGGACCTGAGCTACAATCATCCAGGAGACTCAGGAGTGAAGCTGCTGTCGGCTGGACTGAAGGATCCACACTGGAGACTGGAAGCTCTCAGGTATGGAGGAACCTGCTGCAGGAGCAGAGAAGGTCTGATAGAGGAGGAAGAGGGAGAAATGTCTTTAGTCAGTCTGCTGGGAAACATTTAATATGAAGATTAATAGTTAGCTCGTTGCTCACAGTGATAGCTTTTTTTTCAGTTGCTAGTTAGTTTTCCATCTCTGAATCCAAGCTGTTTAAAAATGGAAATATAAAATCTTAGATTCTCTCTGCTTTGCTTGACGTTGGTGTTTTCCCTCAAACCAGCTCTGCTGTCCAGTTTGATATACGAGTGCAGCTGCAGCGCTATCTCTGCCTCAAAATGTTTTCACAAAAAGTAGTTTGTATTTTAACCAAGCTTGCACAAAATGTAATGCTAAATAATGACTATAAGTTTGGATCTAATAAGTAACTAATTAAAAACATGCTTAAAGAAATATAGTTAATTCTAATATAGATAAAATTATTTATAAAAGTTTTAAGATCCTAGTGAACTTTTGAACCATGCTCAGAAATTTGTTAATTGCCTGGCAGACAGGCTCCCTATCTAAAGAGATCCAAGGCGTCTAAGACTGTTTTCTGATTAGGAATTTCTGTAAGTTCTGAGAGTCACCAGCTGTCCCAGTTTGGATCTGTATCTAAGTTTATCTTAACCTAAAAGTTAACTTATGTACTATTCTGCTACTTTAAAATTCTTATTTCAACAACTGTAAATAAAATAAATATTTGTGATTGGCTTGCTAACATATTTTCCTCCCTGTCTCCTCAGACTGAGTGGCTGTAACCTCTCAGAGAGAAGCTGTGAAGCTCTGTCCTCAGTTCTCAGCTCCCAGTCCTCCAGTCTCAGAGAACTGGACCTGAGTAACAACAACCTGCAGGATTCAGGAGTGAAGCTTCTCTCTGCTGGACTGAAGAGTCCAAACTGCAACCTGGAAACTCTCAGGTAACTCTGGGCCATCCATCCATCCGTCCGTCTGTCCGTCCGTCCGTCCGTCCGTCCGTCCGTCCGTCCGTCCGTCCATCCATCCATCCATCCATCCATCCATCCATCAGTTCAGACCTTGGTCTCTACCTCAATGTTCTCATTTTCTCATCATGTGATGAATTGTGTGTCTGCAGCTTATCAGGCTGTTTGGTCTCAGAGGAAGGCTGTGCTTCTCTGGCCTCAGCTCTGACCTCCAACCCCTCCCATCTGAAAGAGTTGGACCTGAGCTACAATCATCCAGGAGACTCAGGAGTGAAGCTGCTGTCGGCTGGACTGAAGGATCCACACTGGAGACTGGAAGCTCTGAGGTATGGAGGAACCTGCTGCAGGAGCAGAGAAGGTCTGATAGAGGAGGAAGAGGGAGAAAATGTCTTTAGTCAGTCTGCTGGGAAACATTTAGTTTGAAGCTGGTATACAGTCATATCATTTATAAATGAATGGATAACATTTTGAACCCCATTTTATCTCTTATTACAGTTTAATAACTCAAATTATCTCTGGTCATTTTGGTTGTGTAACTTTTCAAACAGCAGCTCATTTAAACTATAAGAATCTTTCACATGGTTCTGAATGAAGCTGGGAAACCAACCCATCTACTGGAACCACAATAACATGGTATTCAGAGCAGCAGGGGGCCAAATATAGCTCCATGTGGAACCAAGAGGTTGGAGAGAGAAAATCAGTTGAAACTGTTTCTTATCAGAGTTCAGTTTGTCTCTCTGTCTTCACAAACCAGGAGCATCATGGGCTGGGCGGGGCTTCCACTGATGATCTACTGAGGAAATACAAGAACCTGATTGGCTGATTTAAAAATAATTTAAAAATATGCAGATTAATGATATCATATAAAAGATATGATATGTAATTGTAGAGACACAGCTGGGAAACAATTTGGACTTTAAAAGAATATTTCATGGAGATCTAGACCAATCAGCCCAAATGAGGAAAGATCAGAAAATGGTCAGATAGATGTGGAAAAGTTCTCAAAAGTGAAACAAAGATTCACAACTTTCAGGACTTAATGAAACCAAAAATACACAAAAACATGAAGCAAACTGTTTGAGGCAGAGTTTAGCATTTTTATTTGTATGGTAGTTTGTCCTCCACTAGGTGGCGCTAGAGTCAGGAGGAGCAGCCTGGAGAAAAGGCTGTTCCTCCCTGATCTGTTTCCAAGCAGTCAGAGTGTAGAAGTTGAGAGCTGGAGAAGTTTCCTCCTGTTGCTGCAGCAGCAGAGATGTTCTGCTTTATGGACTAAATCAGGTTGGAAAGAGGAGAGATCTTTACTGAGCTGCTGGATAAAAGCTGCTGAAACATTTCAACTCTTTCTGGAAACTAATGAGACAGAAAAACAATGGATGTTTTTACCATCCAGACCTTTGGAACCAGTTCAGCTCAATAATTCAGTTGTATCTGTGGAAGATGAACAGATTTGATGTGAAATGATGAAATTCTTCATTTCTATCTGATGTTCCAGCAGATCTGTAGAAAATGGAGCTGCAGCTCTCAGACATTTCATGTTTTCTATCAATGAATCCACTGATTAAAGCAGGAATCTCATCTCCATGTTCTCCTCCAGAGGTTCCCAAGGTTTGTTCCTGGAAGCTGCTGCTGGTTCCTCCAATCCAGGCTCCGCC